GACCTTGGGTATTAACGCGTCTTGGCATTGTGTGAGAACAGCACGAAGAGGACCTTGGGTATTGCAGCCTTTCCGCAGAAGGGGAATGACTCGCTTCTTTGTGCTAGTGTGCAAACATCCATGTGTTCTCCCAGTACTGCTGTTAGCTCAGCCAGAGGATTATCGCAGATCTGAGTGTGACAAGCGATCAGCTGTAATAGCTTTGTTGTGAATGCTTGCACTGCTGTCAACTATTATCTATTCTAGCTGTGCCTCGTAGCACTTCTTGCAAAAGACATCATTCTATGCTATTGTCCTGTTCTTACTTCTTGGAACTGCTGAGACCGTTTCATAGTGGGAACACTTCATCTGTGCCTGTTTGTCCATAACTGTCTTACATGTGCTGCAATGCCGCCTATATTGGCTCGGCGTGCACTTTTGAGCTTGTCCGCTACGTTCCGTTTCATACACTTCTGTAGTAACGCAATGAAGATTCTCATTGACACTCCTTTACACAGCCAGCGTATGTGGATATTAGTCTGTAGGTGGCTGCAATTTGGGTTTTTGTCTTTCGCCGTTCACTATTTTACCAAAATATTCCAATATTCTGCATTTGTTGGATGTGTGCACTGGTGTCCAGACGAGTTGCTTGGCATAACTCGCAGACAGGAATGCATACACTCCCAGGGTGTAGCTGAGTGGCATTATTACACCGTCCTGATGTGTTCATTGTGAGTGCTACATGTTTCCAGCTGTCCTCCATATACATGTAAATAACGAGAAAAACAGAGGTTAGAAAATTGGTCGTTGTGGTGCTATTTGGTCTTGGACACCGGCGAGAGACCACATACTAAAAGACTAAGGCTTGTTCTTCTGGATGTTGTAGTGGGTGTTACTACGCGTGCCTGAAATACTTGACGGCACTAAGCTAAAGTCCTGCGTAAAGAAAAATTCAAATTTCGACAGTCGGAGAAGACGTGATGCTGCATGGGACAGAAGCACCCCGCGAGAAAACGTTCGAAACTGAGGATAGAAGTTTGCCTTATCCGGCGATGGACGGCGTGTCAGGTCTGAACTCGAACGAAAAAGGGCCTTGTAAGGCCCACCTTGCAATGACTAGAAACTAACAATTCTCAAGAAATAGCTCAAAAAGTTCAAAGTCCACTGACTCTGGAAAATAAAAAACACGGATAGAGTGCGATATTTTGAATCTGGCGCACGGACTGGAAACAAATGAGTCACTAGAGAGGTTCTGCAAAACGAAAATTCGTACAAACTTTCGTTCTACGTCATGAAGTGCGAAACTTCGCACGAACTTTCGCAACTTTGGACGCGAAACTTGCAGGGAACACGAAATGAACTGTCGTAGGAAATTTCGTGAGATCGGGTCATGGCGTACGTGCACTTGGCCCGCGCAAACTACGAAAATGTGCAGAAAGCAAAGTTCGTGCAAAAATTCGTACACACTTTCGCAAGGACTGTCGCGAAACTTCGTTCGAATTTTCCTTCTGCAGAACCTCTCTACTGAACGTTTTTTTAGCAACATGACGGCAACTGAAACAGCAATAGAGAAAGTACGATACATGTACAGCACATTCTTGCAGGTACTACAAACAGATTGCAGATCGTAATTCTTGCTTTGGCAGCACGAAACTTTATTTGGGGCAGTGCAATCTCGGCGGTACTCACAAATAATAATAAATCAAACAGCCTAGACTCGAGTAAACAAATCCAATCACACAAGTACGAGATCTTCACGAGACGAGACTGCACCCATTGGCTTGTTTCGTATGAAGCAAACAAGTGTACTGAACCTCTCTACAATGGAGATTTTCCCTGATACCGTATGCGAATTTATTTTGCAAACTCGTTCAATGGGTCCTTGAACCTTTCCCTCCAGATTGGGAACTGCCAACGATAGTATGCCACTGACCAGTGCCTTACTTGTAACGTACCAATGTGCAATGAATATGAGTATTTCGACAACACATCTAACATGAGCCTTACCGTCAAGAAGGTGAACTCGCGTTCTTCGCACACTGTAGACAAGGACAAAGAGATAAAAATGGATCTAAATCCGAATAAAATCAGCACACGTTTCCGTAAATGAAAGGGTGAGCATAAGCAAATGAATCGAAGGAAACAGGTCAACTCAGAGATCACTTGTCATCGAGTATTCCGTAAAAGGAGGCCTCGGCAGCGGAAAAGCTAAATTTAATTTAGAAAAGAGATCGTGTCAGCTTTTCCATTATTAATTTTATTGCATTCCGCTCAAAATCAGGACACTTTTCGTAAATGAAAGAGTCAAAACAAGCAAATGAATCAAAGGGAACTGGTCAACTCACCTGTCATTGAGTAATATTCCGCGAAAGGAGATCTCAGCAGCGCCGAAACGAAATAAGCCAGGCCAGGAGACCAAAATATCCGAAACAGCTTATACAAGAAGCAGTTCCAAAGAAGGAAGGAAGTTCCTCGCGTATGCACATCCGAACACGGACTGCACTGTACTGCAACACAATGTCTGCCGGCTGCCGTGCACGTGCACAGCACGCGGCTACCACCCGTTGGTAGATCTAATACCGAGCACATTACGTAGAGACCTACGTAGCCTAAGTGAAATACCGAGCACCTTACGTAGAAACTTACGTAGCATAGCGATGTCGTTTTTCTTGCCATGTGAACACAATAATAGAAAAGCTGACAGGATCGCTTTTCTAAATGTACGTGTAGGTCGGACGGTGCGTTGACCCCGTTGATCTTTTGCTACTACAGTACAACGCCCTCTACAAAAAAATTCCCCTGTTATTTTGCACAGAACCATTATATCAAGAGTCCATAAACAAGAGTATGCAACTGTGATCTCTTTTCTATGGGCCAGATGCGCGGCGCGCTGCCTTCATTACATCATTCAGCTGCAGTCCGCGCAATGCGGAAAATCAAACACCGCACTTTCCCTCTGGTTTGAAATGAACTTTCGTACGGAACTGGAGTTCACGCGCCAGAATTTAGAGATCGCGTAGGTACTGGAACGAATCGAGCAAAAACGGATGGGCTCGTACGAGAAATTGTGAGTTTGAATGCATGCTTTCAGAGCGTGATGAAGGCAAGTTACGTAATGAAGGCAGCGCGCCGCGCACTGACCCATCACCACAGTTGCATACTCTTGTTTATGCACTCTTGATTATATACATTAGCAGGATACATGTATGTGAGCATAATGCGGCATAATAATGATAACTTTTAGCATAAACGAACTTAGAAGTTGCGACTTCGGCGGTATTGGTCATGAAATTGGTTGCTCCAACGAGGAGCACACGCTTCTTGCCGAACTTTGGCCTGGAGAACAGTATACAGTCGTCCCTCTCTAATCCGGCACTTTATAATCCAGCACCCTCGATAAACCAGCACAATTTTCAGTAGCCAAATGTCCTCTTCATGCACATTGCAGCAGTAGATCAGATTTGTTAATCCAGCACCCTCCCTAATCCAGCAGATTTCCGTGGCACCAATGGTGCCGGATTATAGAGGGACCACTGTATACGTGGTGCTTTTCAGGCACAATCTTCCTCAGCCTACTCAAGCTCAACTGATGAGGGGTGAATTCCCCGAAACACTGTGTATTGAGCAGGGAGTGGTGCTTTCTTTCAGGTTTGCCGAGCCGAAGGTGCGACGTGCTCCTCGTGTGCTCCGGATGGCAGTCGTGAGTCAATCAAGTGTCAAGTTCGGCAAGAAGCGTGTGCTCCTCGTTGGAGCAACCAACTTTTAGCATAAAAATACTTGTAGCATAATTCTGCAATTTTTTCAGCAATGCGAAAAGCATAATTTCACGAAAATATTAGCATAATCCGTCAAGGCCTACTATTGAGTCCTGGAACATTCTGGAACGCTCAGCCCATACAACATGTACGTCATGGACATGTACGTCATGTGATATGAGCTGTACTGGTACATTATGACTGTATTTTCTTGAACTGAACGGTACCGGTATGCTGTACATTGGCAATCCTTTTGTTTTCTAACCTACAAGGTTACATGTGCATGTACATGTAGCCCCACCCTGCAGCCGTCCAGAACTAAAAAAATGAAATAATTACATGTACATGTATGTCTTTGGCCCTTGGGAAATCCTCAAATACAGGTGTGTACATTATAATCCAAAACTGGTAAACCAGTAATAGATAAACCTTGTTGTAGTTCACGCAATTGTAACAATTGTTTCATGCTGTCAATCTAACAATGTTAGATTGACAGCATGAAACAAGGAGGAGGACACTGTGTTCGAAAACAGAGACCGCACTACAACCTTCCTTTTTAGGTATGTGTATGTGCATGTACACTGTATTTTGAAATTGTGTAAAGAGAAGAGGTCATTACGACATTAGTTCACCACCATGAATTCACATGCAAACATCTACACACGCACATGTGTAGAATGCAGCATGAGCACGTCCCTCCGTTCCTGGTGTCGTCCATAGTCGTCCCTGGTGTTTTCCCCAACACAGCCAAGACTTCGCTGTTGTGGGGAAAGCACCACTGCTGCAGTGCACTACACCACTCACCAGTGCCTGTCACCAGGCCAGGGCGCAACTAGACTCATGTGTAGATCTACCACTAGTACCAGGCGTACAGACAAGTCGAACCGCTTCTATCACAGGTGCTCAGTCCCCTGTCCGATGGACGCGGGTGACACTCGAGTCAGGGCGCGCTGGGGCCGGCTGGGGAAGCCCAATTCGCTGGGTCAGTCACATCATGATCTCATGACATGGGCTCGCGAGACGCGAGTCGCGAGTCGCGGCCCGTGTCACCGGAGCTACGGTCGCAGTCGAGCTACCCTGCACAACAGAAACTCGAACGGCATCCGATATCGCACTAACTTACATGTCGTGCTCCTACTCCTAGAACTAAGTCTAAGAAGGCTAGATTCTGTACTCTTGACATGGAACTTGTAGATCTAGAGACTAGGTCATCTACTACTACTCTAGTACTAGTGCCGGCTCTCATGTAGATGACAATAATAAACGTCCAGAGCGCTGCATTCTTGAAAGCATCGATCACTGCACTCGGCAGTAACACTTTTTTTGTTGTGATCCAAGGCTTGATTGTTTTCACGTTGTCCCTGAAGTGAAGAGCAGGCATCTCAATGCAAAGCCTCTACAAATAACCTAGCTTGGCCAGTCTGCTGCTGTCCCCTGGATTTAGCTAACGCGCGTGATATGATCCGGAGTTCACCTATGAAGTAACGTAAGTCGTTGCTCGATCTGGACACGCTACGCTGCACTACGTAAGATTACGGAAATCACTCCTCCAGCAGGGCAGGCCTCTCACTCAGACTCTGATCACTGCATTCGTAGCACAGTCATGTACTTGTACTAGCAAAGGCCTGCACATTTCGACCAACCGGCTCTCAGCTGTGTTGTTGATTGTTGAAGGGGTTGCAAGTAATCAGTCGCCAATTAGAAATAGGCCACAAGTCGCAAGTATGCCGGGAAAACACAGCCAGCAAAATAATTGATTAGTCCCATTCAGTGTCTGTGTAGAGGTAACATCCACAAGTGTTTGAATGTCGTCGAAAAGGCCATTGTATGCTCGTATACAAACACTTGTGGATTTTATCTCTACGCAGACACTGGACTGGACTAGTTGGAGCGCTAATACCAGCTACCCACCAATGACATTAATTGTAAGTTCATTCAAACTGGCGATGCATAGTTAGATTATTAGTAGGAGTGTGAGCAACAAAACCAATCAGGGTATGCAGCTACTCGCAGTCAAGTGGGGACACATTGCCCCGTAGAGTGTAGAGGGGGGGTAGGCTAAAAATGTGGCCAGTGTAGTTTGGGGTAGAACTGGTGTTAGAGAAATCAAGTTGGGTAAGGTTGCGCTCGCAACTCATTGCTCTCAGCGAGGCATTGAGAAGTCTGCACAAAAAGAACACTGTAGTATTGTTTCTTCTTCAGTCCAAAACAACAAGAGTCCCGAGTCAAACCATGCACAGCAACTAAAAGCCGCCAAGTCCGTTTCACGCGCGCGCGGGAAACGGCACATGCTACATGCATAACATCACGATGTACTACTACTACTACATGCATCATGAATGTCTGGAGTGGCCAAGGAATGCCACAGCGCGTAGGAACACGTGAACACTACAAACACGTGTCCGTCGTGTAGGTTATCCATGATCAAAACACACGGCGATCCACACGAATGTTCTATTTGTTCGTGGACCTGTTTAAAAAATAATATGTGTAACGCCGCCCGACAGTACTGTCCACGATTGTATACTATAATTATTACTCGATCTGTTTCGTCCTTTGTGGACTCATCAGCGCAGCACAGAAAAAATATGGCTGAACCTGATATCAATGAAAAACATACCAACTTCAAACTAGGCCCGAGCGTTCTTTGCCAGAGTGCTCAAACTGACAAGTCAGTGAGTTCTGCATAATGCAAACAGCAAAGCCACTATGCTACATGAGAGTGCTCAACTACTACAAGAGCAGGAGAGAAATACTCGATCTGCGGACAGAACTGTTCCGTCCTTTGTGAATTCATCAGGGCAGCACAGAGGAAATGGAGCTTAACCTGATAGCTTTGAACATCGAGTAGAGTACTGCCGGGCACCAGATAAATGGAGTGCTGAAGAACAGCCAGGCCAGAATTCCACTATTTTTTGAGAATGGTTTAGGCTAGATTTTTTCAGATACGAACGGAAACCGTAATATACACTATACGGTTAAGTAAAAAAATGATTGTTTATCGTCCCCCCCCCCCCCCCCCCCCCCCGCACTGATTATTCACCCTCCCGGCCAAATTATTTTATTTTATTTTTAGTTCGGGTAAATGTACTGCATGTACTGCGATCTACGCCTACACGGCCTCTAATCAGTGTGGCTGTAGATCTTGGAAGGCGAAGTCCGCAGATTGAATCATACAAGTAGGTACTATAGGCTTGACAAGTTAAAGAGATTATCATCTGCCTGATTCTCTTTGTTGTCCTACGTTGGTTGTTCCTCTTTTTCCTCTTTACATCCTCAACATTATCTTGCAAGATGGTATTCGCGGCTGATGATTCATCTGCATCACATGGATTTATCTCGCTCTGTTCAAAATGGCTTCAAAGCAAGAAAAGTGAAGAAAGAGGCATCTCTAGGGGTTGCGAATACCTACCATACAGCCATATATGCAAAATATGATATAAAATAAAATACCTCCCGTCCGCCCTGATTTCTCAGGAAAACCTTATGATAAACAATCAATATAATATTTCACATGGCCTAATGTACACTCAGTTGTATAAGTCTGCATAAATGACTAGAGCTTGGAAGCTCAGGGCCCTACGCTATGCTTTTTTGCCTTGATGACCTAGAAAAAAAAAGCATAGGGATGCTATAAATCTTTAAAAAAATCCTTTTTTTAAAGACATAACCTGGGATTCGAACCCGCACTATCGCGCGCCCTGCATGCATCCCCCGATACACTTCGCATACATACTAATTCTTCCAAGTTGGTTCACATTGTGAT